GAGATATCCTTAACATCTTCACCACGTGCTTTTCGTTTATCAGGACGGTGTAACAAGGCAATTTGTATGTCTAAAGAAAAACGAGAGTGATCAAATACGTCTAAAGAAAGTACAAAAGCTAGGCATTGATTTTCACATACACTGTTTTCTCACTGCTTCATCGGAAGCTTTATACCGTTGGTTTTTTAGGTTTAAAACTGCATAGTGATCATTGGTTTTCCAGTCATTTGGATCAAGTGATTTCAAATACTCACTATTATCTTCATCGCTGATTTCTTCAATCACAGTAGTTTTATAGCCAGCTAGTTCTCTGAAAATAGACACATGTGGGTGGGGATCATATACAACAATAGCTTTTGCAGCGGCGCGACGCGACATCCCGGCAATTTATCAAAAAGACTTGGATTACCAAATTGTCGCCTATTATCCAAGGTTAGAACGGCTTTTTAAATAAAGGTTTTAATGTATTTACGTCTTTAATCGCAAAATTAGAAAATATTTTTCAGCTTTTCATTTACTTTACATAATATTATTTTATTAATAAAATTAACTAGGTAAGAATTTCTAAAATGTATTAATTTTAAAAATGTGCGAAGCTACTATCTTTATAAGGTATAGATTAGATAATTTATTTCGGTTTGATATTTCTTGCACAGTTAAACTACTTTTATTATTATAATGTTAATTTTTTAAAAGATAAGTCACATATAAAAATTCTGATGCTGTGGTCGGTTACTAAGCCTTCTTGTGGTTTACTAAAGTGTTTGCCTTTAAGGCAAGCTTCAATTTCGACTATATATGTTCGATTTCTCGGTATCATCTGTGTCTGCTCTTTTGATGGCCGTTTGTTATGCTAACTAATACTCACTTAAGGTATACCGGAGCATTTTTGTAACGTCAAAGAGAGACTTGTTGGCCTTAATATCTTAATTTTGAATTTGTTTTGTCGTTTCCATTGTGGGCATTTCCTGTCACTGAAATGTTCGACTGTTGTTTCGCAGTATATCAATAAATTTACAGGAGGGGGATGTGAAATTTTGACATCCTGGTGGTTAGTGAGCTTAGTTTTGCTGTCGCTCACTAACTTTTTCCCAACTTCTCCATGCGCTAGACGATAAGAGCGGTTAGAATTTAATTGACGAGCTTCATTGATGAAGGAAGGAAATCTCGGTGCGATTGAGAAGGCTGTAAATAACACTATTCTGATGTATCTTCACTTGGTACCGCGGGCTAGCGGAGGGACGTTTACACAATAATTGGCTGGCTTTGATTACGAAATGTGCATTCCATTAGGCACTTAATGATCTTGAATGACTCATCGCGACTTACACATCCACTTCTTTTGAGGTTTCTACACTCAAAGGGAGTGGAGATATATATCAGGGAACACAGAGCCAAAGGGCGGATTAGCCCAAATTAGGTTTGCTCATATCAAAACTTGGCAGGTTGTGTGCTACGTTTATATCGATATAGGCCGATGATAATCGAATGTTAAATTTAGACATGGCAATAGTGTCATTCCTAGTGCTTTGTGAGTGGCTAAAATTTAACTGATCGTCTCATGTTCGTTGTTATATGATCACAAGCATATTTCTGGCCATCTTAGCAGGTTTATATTTTCCGAAATAGATAAAAAACGTATTTTGAGGCATTATTCTTCCCTAAAATATCATCTACGATAAAACAATATCACAATGGGCAAAGTAGGCAATGTACCTTACGTAACCAGCTTCATATGGTACAAATCACTTCAAAGACCGTGGTTTTTTCTTAGTTGCTTTGTCAGTGGAGAAAAAGGATGGAATCTGCCTTTTTGATAACAGTGGAGTTTTAAATCGGTTGCACAAATATAACGAACCAGAAAACAAAATAATGA